AAAAAAAAGAGCACTGACTACTCTTGCAGAGGACCTGGGTTTGATTCCCAGCACCCACATGGCAGTTAGTAATCATCTATAACTCCAGTTCCAGGGGATCTGATGCCCTCTTCTGACCTCCTCAGGCATTGCATGACACAGGTGCACTTAAACACACGCAGACAATATACACTCATACACATAACAGAAATATTTAAAAAATAAAATAAGCTGGCTGAGGTGGCACACACCTTTAATTCCAGCACTCAAGAGGCAGAGGCAGGCAAATCTCTGTGAGTTCGAGGTCAGCCTAGTCTCCATAGCGAATCCAGGCCAGCTGTGGCTAACAGGGAGACACTGTCCCAAAAAGACAAAATAAGTCAAGGGGCTGTGAAATAGGTCAGTCAGTAAACTGCATGCCTTGTAAGCATGAGGACCTGGGTGCAATCCCCAGCAACCATGTAAAAAAGCCTGGCATAGGAGCTGGAGAGATGGCTCAGCAGTTAAGACCACTGCCTGCTCTTGCAGAGGACCCAATTTCAGTTTCTAGGACCCATACAGTGGGTAACAACCATCTGTCTGTAACTCCAGTTTAGGGACTATGATGCCCTCTTCTGGCCTCTGGAGGTATTGTATGCACATACCTTACATACGCATAGGCAAAACACTCATACATATTAAAAAAAAAACAAAAAAAAACCCCACATAATTAAAAATAAAAATAAAGCCCAGTGTAGTAGCATGTGCTTGTAATCCCAGTGCTGTGGTGGTGGAGACAGGTGGATCCCTGTGGCTCATTGGTCAGCCAGGCTAGTTTAATCATTGAGCCCGGAGACATCTCAGAAAAGCAGGGTGGGCTGCTCCTGAGGAATGACTCCTGAGGCTGACCTCTGGCCTCTACACACAACACAAGCACCTGCACACATGACCATGCACATATACACACCACACACAGTAAAAAGATCAAGATGCAACTCTGATACATTCATCATGGCTATTAGGCACAGAAATGAAAACCTGGCCAAGGAAGAATGGCTGTTTCAGATACAAATGAAGGTAAAAGGTGGTACCAAAGTAGGGGTAAGTCCAGCATGGTGCTGCATGCCTTTAATCCCAGCGCTTAGGAGGCAAAGCAGACAGATCTCTTGAGAGTTTGAGGCCAGTCTAGTCTACACACCCAGTTCCAGGCCAGCCAAAGCAACACGATAAGACCCTGTCTCAAAATGAAAAGCAAGCAAAAACCCCGCTGAAACCCAGAGGATAAGGCCACAGGCAGTGCGGCTGAAGAGATGGTTAAGAGCACTGGCTGCTCTTGCAGAGGACCTGGATTCGGTTTCCAGCTCCCTCATGGCCGCAAACAACTGTCTGTAACTCCAGTTCCAGGGGATCCTACGCCCTCTTCTGACCTCGGAGGGCACTACATGACACGGGTGCACTTACATACATATAAAATAATAAAATTATAAGAATGTCAGTTCTTTAGGGTGAGGAGGTTACAATCTTTAAATAGTCTGTTCTCTGTCCTGGAAGAATGCTAGACACAATACTCTTGCACCCTGAGAATTCAATCTCTGTTTTCTATTTAGTGCCTATAGTGTCTGCCTCAGTTCAATGCACTAAACTGACTTCCACCCTAGGCTTCCCTGGTGAGCTGGTCTCCGGGGTCTACTAGGTGGTCCTACCTGACTTGCCTGAGGGTCAGAGCCTGTGCCCTAGCACGCCTCAGTAAACCAATTTAAGAAGCAAGATTGATTAATAGTGAAAAAGAGAAAAAGATTTATTTAATGTGGCTCTAGGTTCTGGTTCGATTCTAACCACTGCAAAAAAAAGAATCAAACACACCCAGAACAAAACCCCACCCCTAAATGTCCCCTCAGCTTAGCTTCAGGCCTTCTCCTCTCTTGGTGGGCACTCGAGCCCGCAGAAAACACAGGAGCTGATGGAGACAAGCTAAGAATCCTAGTGGAGGGCAAGGCTGCCTTTTCGGGAAGACAAGGATTCCCACCAGCTGGGAGGAAGGAGGGCCATCCGGCCACAGCTGACTTCTGAAGACCTCTGGGTCCCGACCTGAAGTGAGGACCGAGCTGCCAGTCAGGAGGCGAGGTTTGACCGACTGTCCCGCCAGCGCAGGGCACGCGGAAGCTGCGCACTCTCAAGGACACCCGCCGGAAGGTGGAGACGCGGCGCGGGGCCGCGGGCCTGCCGGGTGGGAGCGCGCTCGGCGGCTCGGCCTACCTGGGTGCAGCGCTCCGCCTCGGAGCGAGACTTTCTCAGCCGGCGTCTCGCAGTCACAACTGCGCAGCGGAAATCCACATCCAGCACGTGCGGCGACAGCCCCAAAAACAACTCGGAGCGCCTCAGCTATAGGCGCGGAGCCCCGCGTCTGCCCACTCACACGCGTGACCCCTAAGATTTGCTTCCGACGGCAGCGAGCGAGGCGCGCCGGGCCCGCGAAGCCCCGCCCACTTAGGCCAGCCGGTGGCCGGCTTCAAACTTCCGGCTTCCGCCTGCGTCATCCTTACTAGGCCGCATCTCCGGAAGGCCCATTGGATTCTAGGGGCTGTGGTTCTGCTCCATCTAGAGCGCGTCTTTGGTGACCCAAACCTGGGAACCCGGAAAAGTCAAACTCAGCCAATCCCCAACTTACCCACGGTGACGAATACTGTAGCTAAGTAGATTCTCTCCGAGCTAGCCCTTGGAGATGGACGGCGCGCCCCCTAGAGTCTGGAGCCGCCCGTGGCCACGCCAGGTAAGGGACAGACCTGCACTAAAGCCACCGCACGACAGTGACTACTGTTTATGCCCAGTACGTGACCTAGTTTGCAGGCCGTGTGATAAAGCCCTTAAGAAGTGCTAGAAAGACAGTGATAGCTTCAGAGTAGGCGGGGCTCGGGGGCTCGGGTGGGGGTGGTGGGAAAGAGGAGGGGACAGTGGGCCCCACCGCTGAGGGCTGCGGGTGGCTGTGATTATCTAGAGGGATTTTTTTTTCTGTCTCACATTGAGTGAAAACATTTTTTTAAGTGAAAACATACATGCAGTGATACACAACGCACACTACCGCATGAACAGGAACTTCCCCAATTCTTCCTGCTTCTGGAAAAACCACACTTTATTGGGGGACAGATGGCTTGACAGTAGGCCTCACTCAGGCTCACAGTTGACTGACCGGGAAGGTGTTGGAACCTGGCTCTGCATTCCACCGAAACCTGGGAGTCAGTGCGTAGGCGGTTTGGGACCCAGCCAGACATGGGTGACAATGCACCTCCCTTTCTGCTTCATCCGCCAGTTGTGCCCTAAGATCGAATTCTCAGAGACTGTGAGTGGAGCAGAGCCTGGCACCTTGATGTGTTGGGTTAACATAAATCTGGCCAGAGCCCCAGTGCACCAACTGCTGCCACAAAGGAAATGGAGACCCCTGCTGGATGGAGAAGCCTCTCAGCCCTCAGGGACTATTTATAGCTAGGGACTCAGGCTGCTGATCTGTGACATTCCCCTGCCACCCAGTCTTGGAACAAGGCCAGTGCGAGGCATACTCCCCATCCCCCTTCCCTTCTTCCCTCACCCCAGGGCAGGGTGGTTTCAATTTTCATCCTCCTCTTGAGTTTCCCAGCTCCTAAGGTGTGGTCTGTTCCTCCCAAGGACCTTGTTCCAGAAAGGGCAGCTGGCCTTGGAATATCAGGACCCAGGGAGGTGGAAAGGTGCAGAACCTTTGAGCTGGCCCGAAGCCTCCAATACCAGCTTCTGGATAGCTCTCTTGGCTGCTCTGAGAAAGGTACAGGATTGGGCAGGAGGAGGGAGCAGAGTCAGGAGTCCAGAATGTCCTCCAGGGATATAAACAGCAGGAGGGGCCCACCACACTTCCCCCAGCTAGAGGTCCTAACTAGGGAGGTGGCACAAATAAGAAGGTCACTGGGAGCTCAGTGATCTGAGCCTGCTATGAAGAAGTGTAGCTGTCAGCAGATTAAATTCCTGCTCCCCAAAGAGGGTGCTGGAGGGCAGGGTGAAGGAAGGCTTGGAAAGGTCACACAGGGTGGGGAGGTACTGGCAAAGACCTAAGAACCAGGAAGTCGCTGGGGAGAATGGCAAGCCTCAGGCCAGAGATGCCAGTTTGGAGCAACCCTTTGTGCCAGAGTAGCCTGGGGAGGGGGAAAGGCTTCTGAGGAGGCAAATGTTGCTAGGAGAAGCTAGAAGGGAGTTGTTTGAGATCTTTGTATTTTGTTAACAAACACTGAGATCATTGATGCTGTGTGGGGCTTAGCAAAGGTCAGCCAAGGGGTCTCTGGGGCCTGTGACATCCAGACCCTTCCCCTCGGCAGCCCTTGCCTCATCATTCCTGTGGCTAAAGTATCTCTTCAGTCACTTAATGGGACTTGGGGACAGATTTCCAGTCTGCATGAGGCAGCAACTAGCAGCCCTTGACTTGGCACCTTCCCTTTCCCCGCCCACCCAC